CATCTTACACTTTTTTGCTTTTTTTTTTTTGTAATTGTATAATTTATGTATAATGAAGAATAAAATTTTAATAAATTAATTCCCTAGAGGTTTTTTTTTTAAACAGCAGCTAACAATTGAATGCCCATAACTAATTCCTTGTAGAATTGGGTATACTCCATCTCCTTTCCCTTCAAAGTAAATATCATCAATTTTTGCCACAAGTGAACTCATCAATAGCTGTATTAAATCAAATGAGGTTATTTTTACAGTTTTGAAGGCAACAGCCAAGGTCCAGAATAAAATATTTAACACTTAAATTGTCTTCTCACTTTCAACTACTTCATCATATATGGAAAAGCCTCTAAAATATAAAAAACAACTAATTACAACATTCTGAATTATTGTTTTGTCCCATGTAAGACACATGGGACTACTCTACTTCAGCCATCCAGATAAACTGGGATAAGACAGTACCAAAAGTAAAATACAGGTTTTCAGTTCAGACTTCATGGAAAATAGAATCAATAAAGGATATCATTGGACTATATACAATCTAAAAATCACTTGCTCACAAATCATAAGCTAATGTCAGCAGCAAATATGACTTTTTTTGTAAGAATCAATCATGATGCAGTTCCATTGGCAGACCATGATAAAGAGAACTTGGAGATCTCAAGCGGTATCTTAAAATTTAAACCCTTATGCAACATCAAGAAACTTCTTCATGCTTACCACAATAAATATGCTACCTACATAACATTTTTTTCTATTTAACTATTCCACTCCAAATTTTCTGTTTATAACCCTCAAACAGATGCACCACAATCTCTTTATATTCCATATCTTTAAACAGTCACAACTACTTTAAATTTTCACTTTCTCTTACAAGAGTCTGCTATCACAGTCTACAGAGTAGCAGACATAAACGTATCCCAGTGAAAAAATGCAAGTGTCCATTTCTATAGCTGCTGCAATATTATACAGACTCAGTGGAGCCAACTACAAACACTGGTAGCTTTCTCTCAGAAATTATTTTTCATTCTAAATTTTGAAAACAGATACCCACTACTGATCTTATGAATATACCATTTTATTAAGAAATAGAAGAGACATTGAAGCTATCAAAAAATGGTCACAAAGCTTTGAAATATTAAGAGAGCAGTCAACTGTCAAAGATTTGCCCACCAAAACCTTCGTAATCATTTAAGCTAACTGAAGAAACTAATTTATCTGGCAAAATGGTAATATTTTTCTGGCAATAAAATACTTTTTACTCTCTGCCAACTAGTTTAAATGGTAGAGTTAAAAGAAAAAAAAATAAACTATGCAGTTCACTAAGCCAGAAAACAGCTTTTCAGTAAATTATTTGGGAAAGACTAGAAGTAATGCTATAGTTACTTGTGTTAATAGCATTGCCCTGTGTATATATTGTAGCTGAGGTTAATATTTATTCCATGGTTAGATAATCCTCCATTAGCTAATTAAATTCAGTTGTGAACTTATTAACCAATATTTCCCTGATCATTTAGCTAAAGTATTTTGAATGACAGCCTATTAAACATTAGCAGAGCTTCCAATGTACTACAGCTAGCAAAATTAAATTAATGGAGTATCTTCCATTTGTACAGACTCTCCTCACCAAGAACTCCTAATTCATTTTGAATACTTAAATAAAAATAGCATAACCATAATAATTTCTATTCAGCAGTAATAGTTACTGCATAGACTTATTTTGTACTGTACCAGGCATCCCTAATCCCTTTTCAACTGCTCATATGAGAAAAGAAATCAAAATCAAAGATTGCAGGAGTGCTCAGAATTTCTCAGGATTACTCTACAGATTCATTTTCAAATCCAGGCCTCACAGCGAAGACAATATTAGACATTAAACATATTTTTCCATTGCTATGCTATTAAAAATGTGTTTAATGGACTTATTGTTATGTAGACATAATTCATGTGTATAAGTAACACAGAAATGCCTGGGCTTTCTCAATTGCTATGCAGTATTTGTTCAGAGCTTGTTTTACTCTTGAAAACACAGTAAGAAAACAGAAGATAACACTAAACCTCTTTATACCAAAATACTAGGGTCATACACATTTTTGTACCTACACATACATATATAAACACACCTATATATACACATTATATATATATATATATATATACACACACCCCTACAATGGATCATCTCTTTGCGACCTTATTGTACCTGTTACTCATTAAAGGCATCCTTGAAGTTCACAATTAAAAGTTTCCTTCACCATCCACATTCCAATTTTCACAATTAAACCATCTTGGACAGCACTTTCACTGCTGTGACTCCAGTTTCATCTACT